TAGCCAGTTGAGCTATAGGCGCCGAGCCAGATATTACATTTTAAAAAATCACCCCAGCAACAATTTAAAAGACTGGGATTACTTAGAACAAATGAGGACAGAGCAAAAAGAATGGTCTTATACACTACTGATAAGAACACCAAGGACAGGAATCACTGTGGAAGGTTAACTTGCCCCTATAAAGCAAAAGCCTTAATGCAGTTCTAACACAGCCTAGTAATTGTATTTCTAAAAAAAGAGAGAGAGAGAGAAATTTCCAAAGCCCTTAGACACAGGGATATAAGATTATAGTAATTATCCAAAATAAGTAAATGCTTAACTGAATTATGACACAAATCATGTAGTCAAAGCAAGTAGTAATTGCAAATTGTTTAATATATAATAAGAGTAAGAATACAGAAAACAAACTATAAAACTGTATATACACACACAAACATATTTAGACAATATAAAAAAAACTCAAACATGTAGAAAAAATAGATAATAGATCAAAATGTCGACAGTTACATGCAAATACTGGGGTTAAGAAAGTTTTTTCCTTCTAATATTTTGTTTTCCAAAATAAGCATATACTACTTTTATAATCAGAAAACAAATAAAAGCTGATAAAATAAAGGTAAGAATTATAGTAAGAGTCCTTACCTAGGGAGGTCACATTTCCATAATTCTCCAGCATAACGTCCCAGTACAAGGCCCTCTGAATTGGGCCTAGACAAGCCCATTCCTCTGAAGTGAAGCACACTGACACCTCCTCAAACATCACCAATTCCTGAAATAACAGGTGTGTGTGAGATTACCAACATCCAGAGGCTCCCACACCAACTTTCCCTTTCACATCTAAGGAAGGGGTACATTATGGGGCCATGTGGTACACACGGCCATGAGGAAGACATAAGGAAACCACATGTAAAGTGTATCTTCCAGTGGCAGGGACCTTGATTTAGAGATGGGAACTAGACACCCATGCACTGGGATGAGAGAGGGCACTTCAGCCACAATTAGGTAGCACAGACAGGAAGGCAGGAGGATGTAAACCTTACCTGGGGCTGAGCTGTTAGGAGCATAAGTGCCATTAATTGATTTCTTGGGTTCTCTTCTTGGGAAAGGTTAGCAGCTTCATGGGCAGGAGAATCTGAGAAAGGAGAAAAAGCTGCATGTAAGATTACTATTGTTCTTGCTGACTATCTCAAGTCTAACATTACCTGCAAGTCAGAAATTCAGAACTCTCAGTCCTAGGCAGTGATGGTTATATTAATATAATAAAATGATCTCAGGGTGGGTGTGGTGGCTCACACCTGTAATCCCAGCACTCTGGGAAGCCAAGGTAGGTGGATTGCCTAGACTCATGAGATCAAGATCAGCCTGAGCTAAAAGGAGACCCAGTCTCTAAAAACAGCCAGGCATTGTGGCAGGCATGTAGTCCCAGTTACTTGGGAGGCTGAGGCAAGAGAATTGCTTGAGCCCAAGAGTCTGAGGTTGCTGTGAGGTATGATGCCATGGCACTC